TTGTAGAGAAGACAAAAGAGAGAGAGAGAGAGAGAGAGAGAGGGAACCTGAATCGCTGCTGCTCTCCATAGTGGTGGGTTACCGGCCGGCGTGAGAGTGGTGGGTGGCTGTTCGAGCAAATAGAAAAGAGAAGAGAAAGTGGAGAGAGAAGAAAGAAGGATTAGATTAGAAATGAGAGAATGGGGAAGAGAAATTTGGGTGACCGGTAGAGGAAAGAGTAAAAATTGGAAAAGCGCTTGACAAGCGTGGTGCTCCAGGCATCTGTGAATTGGGGTGTGCAGGTGAGGGGCAGTGTAACGTTAAGAGGGAGGTGATGAGTGTGATAAGATGGTTTTTTTTTTTTTTGGGGGTGGGGGGGGGGGGGGGACTGTGTGTAGGATAAAATTTCAAACTCTCTTCTGTTTTATTATATAGATTTTCAAGCTCTGAGTTCCGACATATAAATCTAATTTTCGAGAAAAATACCTTGAAATTGACCAGAACAATTAAGTTGTCAATCTATTTTACGGTACCGAAGCAGAATAATTTGCCACAAAGCTAAACCAAAATTCACGCACAAATATCATACTCAATTCCAAGCAAATTCAAGAAAAATTCTACTTTTAATTGCTAATTGCTCAATTCAATTGCAAAAATGAAAAGAAATGAACCAAAATGAACTATGCTAAACATAAAGTATGATACCCATATTAAGAAATTTTATTTTCTTTCCCAAAAACTATTATTGTCGATCCCTTCATGTAACCCACTACAATCACCAAAAAAATAAAGTAATCTGTCCAATTCAACATATTAATATTCCAAAATCCCAATCGCATTACCCACAAAGCAATCTATCCAATACAAAATGTTCGTTGTGGTTGTTCACAACTCTTTGAGAAATTTCATCTACCAATTCGGTGGCGTAAAACGTTCATAACAAAGATTTAAAGCCTTTGAATTACATCCTATTTCACTTTCATCTTTAATTCTTTTTTAACATATACATCCTATTTCACTCTAACATAGATCAAATCAAGACCTCATAAAAACCTATTTCATACTAATTAACACACAATCTCTAAAATTATGGAAGTAAAATAAATTAACACATCTTAATCTAAATAACCCTAACATTCATCAAATCAAGACACTATAAACTTATATCATAATTAAAAAAAGAATAAATTGAAAAAAATAACATTCAAAAACCCAAAAAAAAAAAAAATTGAAATATAACATTCAGTTGTGGGTTTGTTTGTGTGTGTTGTGTTGTGGGTTTGCTCTGTGTGTGTATGTGTTGTGAGAGAGAGAGAGAGGTGTACCTAGGTGATGTAGTGTGTGTTTGTGTGCTGCTGCTGTGTGTGAGTGTGTGGGTTAGGTGTTATCTCTATATCGATTAATTGTGTTTGTGTGTTGTGAAATTAGTGGGTGACGTAGTGTGTATGTTTTGTACCTCTGTTGTGTTCTGTACCTGGGCTGTTGCTGCTCTCTGTGTGTGTGGGTTAGGTGTTATCTATATATCGATAGAGAGAACCCCTTCTTCGTCTGAGCCAACACCAGAGAACCCCTTCTTGCCTAAGATCACCAAAATCACATATGCACGCTGAAATCTCGACCACTCAAAATATAATTTATCAAACACTCATCTAATTTATGCACGCTAAGTCAAGATCTTTTGGGGGAATTTTGTCGAATAGTTTATAGGCCATCGTTGACAATGCCATTTTGAGCATGAGAGCGAGAGCGAGACAGAGAGAGATAGAGAGAGGGAGGTTGTGGAGATAGGTGTGTGTCTCAACGAATCGACCATGTGTGTTGTGCGTGGGTGTGATAGATGGGGTTTGGGTGTGAGAAGAGAGAAGGGGAGAAAACGGGCTTTACTGGCTTGGTCGACATCACTGGGAGTGTGAAATGGGGTGGAGAGAGAGAGTGAGAGAGGTGTACCTGGCCGACGAAGGTTGTGTGTCCATATTAATTACATGATTTTTTATGTTTTTTTGATCAATATTCAATTTTTTAAAATTGCACAATGCCTTTAGGCATGGATAATCGCTAGTACTATGATTATCAATTTGCAATAGACTATCAAAAGGCTAAATTTACTTGAAGTAATTACCAATAGGAATATGTTGCAGCAAATATTGAGAAAATCTTCGCGCTCACTGTTGTGATGGTCAACGCCTTTAACAAAACCTGAAATAAAAAATAAAAAGTTAAGAAAAAGTGTTGGCAAAAATCAAAACATAGAAAACTCGCTAAGTAACCATTCAACCTTTACCCAAAAACGTGAGAGCGATGTTGAAACTCTTAAGACAACTGATAAAGTAACATTTATTTGCTCTTTGAATAGATTAACATTTTGTGAAAAATAATAATGAGAACTTCGCCTAATTATTCGGAACCAAAAGATACGAAACCATTCAGCTCCAAATGTTTGTGCACCAAATAATCAATTCAAGCAAAAGAAATGCAATCATAAATCACAAAAATCACAACAAATTGAACCTATTACAAAACTCACATAAAATCAAACCTACTTACAAAACTCGGTGCAAATTGTACCTAATGCTAACCTAATAACAAAAGGTCTCAATAAGGTGTAGTTTTATGAATGCATGGAAAAACAAATAAATTGGTGGACAAATATAGATACTACATTGCATGTCTGGCAATTAACCTCAAAAATATCTTCAAGAATCCCAAATAATTATTAATAAGGAAAAAAATTTCTCAAGCAGCATTACATGGAAGACATAACCACCACCAAGTTTATAAAAAATAGCCAACATATGCTAGAAAACAAAACCACTCTCAAGCAATACAATAGTAGCTAACCTTGATAGTTGAATGGGCAGGAATGTTTAGATAGAATTTCCTCTAAAAATAGTATACCAAAAAAGTTAAACCTGTATACACGATTCATAAGCACCAAATAGGACACACAATCACGCCACAGACATCAAAACGAAATCATTTATTAAAAATCGTCACAACATAAATGAATTCCTTAAAGACAATACATGATTACCAATTACATTCAATTTATAAAAAGTACAAAAAGTTAAACAACCGACTAAAAAACTAAATTCGATTAAGTACTCTAATTTCAATTCTAGAATAACATATTCCCAATCCAATGTATGTGCATTTAAATACAACTTTCGAGCAAAAGAATAATAGCAATCAATAAAATTAGGAGCTTTTAGGGTGGGGTGTATGGATTTTCAGTTGGGACATGTATTCAGGGAATCAAATGCGGTAGCAGATTGTTTGGCTAATAAGGCATTCCAGGACAGATTTTCCACTGATCTATCTGGTTCTGTGCATCTGCCTGCTGTGGTGAGGGTGCTGCTGATGCAAGATCAAAGGAGTCTCCCTGCCTTGAGAGTTAGAAGTCTGTTGATTGACAATTATGGGGAAGATGCAGGCTGCTCAGTTGCTTGGTGACCTGCAAGCTTCTTTCATTCTTTTTAAGAACCAAAATTAACAAAGGTTTGTATCGGGTCAAAAACAGAAATAAAAATAAACATAAATCAATACAAATCCATTGTTTTGACCTGATACAAAATACAAAGGTTTGACCCGACCCATTGTTTACAAAGAACCACTTTTTGAGCTATGAAATCAATACAAATCCAATTGCTTGGAAGTTGGAGTCTTTCCAATGTATTTTCTTCTCAAAATAAAAAGTATTCTCTAGCTTGGAAGTTGTGATATGAGCTCTTGTTAAAGCAAGAGAAATGCAATTCCAAATCCACACAATACCTCAATTTCAATAAAACTCAACAAAAGTTAATTGAAACATAATCTCAACACATCATACCTACAAAAAATGGGAACACATTTACCGATCAAAAGAAAAAAGAATTGTGGAGTATACAATATTTCTCTTAGGCATCAACACAAACACTTGACGCCCATTATGATTGACAGCAAATCAACACCTAACTAACGACTTTTGTGTATGCTATTTCAATTTGTGGGTATGTGTATTTATGTGTGCTCTGTGTGTATTTGTGCGTGTTGTGCTGTGTTGTGGGTAGGGGGTGTGTGCTATGGGTGTGATGAAGACAAAGAAAGGGCTAGGAGATATGAAGAGGGCGAGAGAATGAGAAAGAGAAATTACCATCAAACTTGGACTTAAATATAATAAGAAATTTATTGCCCAGTATTTCTATATGGCATTTCAACAAACACTTCATATGCTATATGATTGGAGCTGTGGGCATAGGTGTGGTCTGATAAAAGGGGTGTGGTCGAGGTAGTAGCCAAAGATGGAAGAGAAAAAAGGGGAGAGAGAGAGAGAGAGAGAGAGAGAGGAAACATACCTGGAGAGTGAGAAAAGAGTGGTGGTGGCTATTTTGGCGTCGTCGCTGCTGTTGGGGCTGATGCGGGAGAGAGAGAGAGAAAGGAGGTGGTGATTAAGGGGAGGGAGAAACACAAAGAGGGGAGGAGAGGGGATGGTGTTTGCGCAGAAGAGGCTGGGGGAGGGTGTTTGCGCAGAAGAGGGGACTCGCTGCCAGTCCGGCGTGAATGACAAAGTGTGTGAGAAGTGAAGACTGAGATGAGAGAGAGATAGAGGAGATCAGTGTTGCCAGGGAGCCGTTGTATCTTATGTATTAACTTATGTATCTTCTGATGGATTAACTTATGTATGTATATTATTTTTATCTTTCAATTTTTTTCATTAATATTAAATATAAAAAAATTAATCATTTTCACCGTTCATCCATAGAAAAATATATCATTCATAATTTTTCAGGAAATAAAAAATATATTTGTTTTACTTTTCATATTTTCTACCGACCCGAGCACTAGTCTCGTACACAAAACTAGCCATGAGGTGGAAATTTTTTTTTTTTGGGTGGGGGTTTAATTGCACAATTCACAATTAAGGGAAGTAATGCATAAATGATCAATAGTTTAGGGGGTATTGTGTAATTACCTCTTTTTAACGAGAGCAAAACCATTAATGATAAAGTTAATTTCATTTCTTTAATTATTCTTGATTATGTTTTTGACACCCAACTTTTTTCCCCCTTTCCTCTTTCAATTACTAGTGACGAGCGCACAACTGCAGTCTGCAGCTTAGAGTCGTTCGGTTGCGCTGCTCAGTGCTCACTCTTTCTGTCACAGGCACTGGTTTTCTGAGAAGAGTTCGAGACTCACTTTTGATTCGGCGGGTTAGGGTTTAGCCTCTGTTCGGACTTGCAATTTCTCGTACAAAATGAGGTAGAAAATATACATTTCAAGCTATACAACATTTCCTTTTCAATTCTCTGCTATGGTTTCTGGATGAAAATGAATTATTCTGTTGGGTTTTCCTTATCACTTGAAATTAGTTCCTTTTTGTTACAAAAATCATTGCATCTTCCCTAATCTCTGGCCGTGTTAGGGTTTACATTTTTTCTGTTGCTTTCTATCACATAACCCATTTCTATCACTAGTTGAATTATTTAATTTTTTATTAATTTGTGGTTTAATACAATTTTTATTTCAGTCATTGTTCACACACAATAATATACACATGTTGATACTTTTGAGGTCATGTATTTTGTGTAAATTGTGTCAATTTTTGGAAAAAAAAATTGTTATTGGTTATGTTGATATCAATTTTTTGGACATTCGAATTTTATGTTGTATTGTGGCTCCAACATGAGTTATGGCTAGTAGTTCTATCTATACATCATTAGTGTACATATAGACATATACAGATATTCATGTATGTCACAGATACAGGTATATGTGTGGCTAATTTGTCTTTGCGTACTTATGTATGGATAGCTATTTATAGCACATGTGAAAATGGAACTTGGGAGAAGTTTGGACCTTCTTTTGTCTGGCATTAGTTAAAAAGTGCTGATTGTTTCTGTGTTTTCACCAGAAGCTGTTGGGATCTCCCTTTTTTTCACTATTTTTTTTACATTTAATTATTAGAGCTATGACACAGTTGATATATTATATGTCATTATGCAGTCGCCATCCAGAGGTTCTTTGGGCTCAGCGCACTGATAAGGTTTACCTGACTATTGCTTTGCCTGATGCAAAAGATATTTCGGTGAAATGTGAGCCACAGGGTTTGTTTAGTTTCTCTGCTGTGGGTGTGCAAGGTGCACCCTTTGTCTTCAGTATAGAGCTTTACGGAAAAATTGTACCTGAGGTGAGGTTTTGCATTGCTTATGTTGGAACTATTCTTCATTCGCGTGAATTCATAATATTGATTTTTATTCATACAATTCCAATGAGTGATCATTTGCTTTACCTTTTTCAAGGTCATTTATTTTTATCTATTGGGCTAAAATTGTAATCCCAAGAGTTAGGGAAAATGGAGGCAAGCCAGAAATTTGTTGATTATATGGGATATTAATCAATCATGGTGGAAGTCGAACCTACATTTGCCAGTTTTACATTTAGATGACGTGATTATGTCAATTAATTATTTTTAGAATGCAATAATGTTCAATATTTAATATCTTTTCTATTTAAAATATGTTGATGTTTATTATTTTGGTTGTATTTAAATATTTTGTATTTGTAAAGTTAACACTTGAATATTTAGGAGTAATCACAGTATTAAACTACAATATTTGCTTATTTTTTATATTATTCGCTTCGCGCATAGGTCTTCAAGAGACCGGTTCGCTTCGATTCGCTTTACGCCTTAAATAACGCTGGGTATAGCTAAGATCCCTGCCTCATTATACCAAAACTTTGTTGACAAGTTTAGAGAAAAGAAGAATAGTGTTCTCTGCATCATCTCTGAAATTGCTTCCAGCTCCAGTTTGGCTTGGGTCTTTAAGAGAACAACCATCAAAATTAAGTTGATTTTTGCATGGTTGTAGGCTTTCATCATACCAGGAAACTTCCCTGTTTAGGGGATTGAAGGTATAGCCATCCAGTGGGTCATGATAACATTCATGTGTATCACCTTGAAATCGTTGGTGATGGATACCTCAATGATGATACTTTCCTAGAGCTCTTCATCGCACGAAGTATGACCTTGAAAAATTCTAGAATTCCTTCAATCAAAGTGATTAAAATTATATTCAAATGGCTCAACCTTAGAGTCGTGGTTTTCTTACTACTACTTCTGTGGCTAAATGTTCCAAAATGTCTCTAAAGCTGGAATACTCAACTTGGTTAGTGTTCAATGCTGAAAAACTCATCAGTAATCTCTTTGATAAGTAAAATTATATCACTAAAGCTGCCAAAATGAGAGCGTTGCATTTTGGTTGGCGCTGTAATGTGTTATGCAATCGATCAAACCTGCTAATGCTTTTATTTAGTTTGGTGTGGTTACTATTAGAGTTTTTTTTGGGGGCTGGTGGGGGGTAAGAACTGAGCAAAAACCTATCCACAAGTTTTTAGGGAGATCATTGGTCCTTCAAATCTTATTAGCAAGGAAAAATGGAATGAAATAATCTTTGCAAAAGAGAATTGAGAAAAAGATTTAGTGAAACACCACGTCTCTCATCTGTGGTGGATAGAGAAAGATAACCCTCATTATATAAAACGAGGAAGATGCAGGTTCTGTAACCTCCCAATTACTAAGATTCCTGAAAAGCAAAAGTGCCAAGGGAGAGTGGAGAACCTCAAAATTGAACAATTGGTGTGTCATGAAGATGAGAGATGTAAGAACATGGCGAATGCATCTTTGAAAGGATGGTCATTTCAATGCGTATTTATCCATCCCCAGCAATGTATCTTGTATGCAGGAAAACCACATTACGTATGTCTGTCCTACCACTTTTGTCCTATTCTTAGCGGTCATGTAGAATATTTTGAATCATCCATGATCTTCTAATTCTCCAATATCTTGGTTCTTTCAAATTGACCAAGCCATTAACCTGAATAGCTATGTCATTTCATAGTAACAAGTGTTCCACTTCTTATGAGTTTTGGGTCTTTCTGCATGGCAATTTAAATGTCTTAGTACAATAGCATCCATGTCATGGATGGTCTTTACTGGACATGTTTGACAAGGTTCTTTGGGTGTTTTTTTTAAATTTTTTTTTGAAAGATATATATTATTCTTTTTAATGGTTGGAATACTATATCGGTGCAGGCTTGTAAAACTAATGTTGGCTTGAGGAACATATTATGCTCAGTCCAAAAAGCAGAGAAAGGTTGGTGGCAAAGACTACAAAAGTCGGAAGAAAAACCTGCTCCTTACCTTAAGGTTGATTGGAACAAATGGTGTGATGAAGATGAGGAGGAGTCAACTGATTGTAAGTTTATGTAGCATGTTATAGATGTGAAGATGATGTGCTTTTCCTTTGTGTAACGTTTGGGAACTGGGCCAAGTTTCGAGGACTGGCATGTATATTGATCCTTTCTTAGGTTGTGTCCTTTAGGCATCATATTATGATTTTGTATCAAGTGCTTTATACATTGTCTTATGCATTACTCTTTTTCTTTAGGATTTGCAAAACAATGGTGTGACAGACTTACCTGTTGGTTTGGATGTTCTACTGGTAGCTCTTAGTTAAATTGACTATGCAGTCATCTCACCACATGTTTTATCGGGTTTGGTTGGATTTGCGTCTGGCCTTACCTAATGTGAATCTGTGATTGGTCTGGAGCAGCATTTGGGTATTCAAGAAACCAACTGTTTGATTTGTTCCTATTGTGGAGTTGCCTTTGTTAGTTTTGCTTATGAAAGAAAAGATTGAAAAAAGTTGGATTCTCTCATCTTCCCTTTGTATCCTAAGAAGAACAAGAAGAAAGAAAGAAAGAACGTAATGAAAGAGAAGTAGAAAAATGTTTTCCTTATTCTGCTATTTCAGTTCCTTGTTAAAAAGTCATTCTGCTAATTTCATTGTCAAGGTATTCTCCTGTTCACTTCCATTACCTTTTATTTATTGGCAAGTTTGTCTCTTAATCAGATGCAAAAAAAAAAAGGTACCTATAACAAATTCAGGTTAAGCAATAATTGTTAGCACGTATTACTCACAGCCACTTTTAAAAAAATTGAAGGTGGGGGAAAGAGAAAAGAAGTCCTCTGATGTCTTGTTACATGAAAATGCAAATATTGGAGGGAATGAATGTTTTGTCCTTTATGGCCTTAATGCTGATCCCCATTGACCAACACAAATTATTTGTCTTTGTCGTTGTCTTTGTCCTCTTTTGTAACTGTATGCATCACATCTCTTCATACATAACAATACTTTTGTGGCTCCTAAGCTGAATTTTGCAGTTCAACTGATACTGTTCACATGTATTGCCTTTGATGACAATATGATTTTGAATTGCTAGTTCATGTTGTGAGTTGAAACCCAAACTTTAGGCATAGTTTGGATGGTAGGAATAAGATGCATGTAATCAGTTGGAGTGAGGGAAGAAAATTGAATTCTCTCACCAGGGATAAGATTGCCTTCAACGCAGTTCCAAGTGTCATTTCATACCTGCATTTGGTAAGAGAAACATTACTAATGCTCTTGTTAGTGAGAATTTAGCGTTTATCTTTGTTATAGACATTCAATCTAACACCAATTGATAATGTGTGGAGAGGCTCCTCAACCATACAATATTGAGTTCTCCTAGGTACTTCTAGAAGGTTTTCGGTTTTGAGCTCTCATATGAGTGGAAACCAATGCTATGCCACACCAACTAACAAAACAAAACCTGAACAGCTTTTGTTGTTAATATAGCACGAGCACAATAGGAAAGAGATGGGGGGGGGGGGGGCTAGTGAAAACTTGTTGCTGAAATTTGTGTGATTGCCAACAACTTCCACATGGGATTTTTTAAAAATAATACTTTTTGAATTCCAATTGGTGGTTAGTTGCATATGTGACATGATTGAAGGGAGAAATGCATTTACGACACCTATTTTCACTGAACTTTCAAAGTGCTTCTTGGGTCGGACAAACTAATCCCGATAGCATTGGGTTATGCGCAAGTGTCACCCATATCACAAAAGAATCCCCATCACAAAACATAGTTCTTATTTGTACACGTGACACTTTGCTAAGACCTTCCCATCCCAAGTTTCATATAAGAGAGCTATAAACATCTTCAGGAATACAATTTTGCTTGCCTCCCTCTCGTCTATACCTATTATTGAGATTTTTTGGTAATGTTGTTATTCTTGTCCATTCTCCTTTGTTTATTGTAAATGTTCATTATTGAAAGCACATAGTGGCTAAATATTTTTTTGCTATTTGCTATGAGCCACTTGTATCTTCAAAGCATGATCCTGTGTTTGTTCTGCTTCAACATAAAAGTTGAATTTGAACCCCAGATGCTACCTGCCCTCCTGATGCCTTCACAACCATTCGAGGGCAACTCATCCTAACACATAGTTGTACTGACAACTTGTGCATATGGACTTTTTCTATAACTACTTTGCTGCATTCTGATTTTCTTGCTGTTGCTTATATGAATCTTGAAATATTCAAATAAGGACAATGATGCTATCATGTTTCCAGAGGTTCTTCTTCACTAGCAGAAATTTTGGGTTTACTTTTTGCATGACATGATAACCACTCTTTTTATATACATTACTAGCATTTTTTTTATGCGATCTAGGCTATTCTGTTTTGTCCTTCAATAGTTTGAGATTGTTATGTTTATGTGGCAGGACTTTAAAACTTTTTTGGATTACCATTTATTTTATTCTGACACCCGATTCTGTGGTTCTTGCAGCTGATCCAGCCTATGATGAGGATGATGTAGTGGTAACATGACCTCTCCTGCAAAATATTTGAGTAGAGTGAACGGTGATTTTTATGGAGCCATCTGACTTCAATTTTGTTCTATTGCAGTACACTGGTGAACATGATGGAAGCAGTGACGACGAAGGAATGCTTTGTGAGTTCAAAAATTCTACTCACTGTTGAAATGTCATATTAAGTTGCTCTTTGGAACCTTTTTTGATGGTTGCATCCTTTGATGCATTCACATAGAATATCCTTAGACTTCAAACTGTCTTAGCTGTAACCTTGGTGTTTTTTTAGTTCATTTTAAATATATGCAATGTCTACTTTCTGATGGATGGAATCTCTTAGGATATCACTACGGTAGAACCGAAAAAAAATAATTTGGTACCATACTGAAATTGATTTGTAGCCGTTGATTTTGATTTGATTGGTTTGCGGCTTTTGATCATAAAAATGATAAAATGATATGAATTATTAATCTGAGTAAACAAAGTGTGTCACATTTTTATTGGACAAAAAGTGAAGATATGTTACCGAAAAATTGATATAAATCACTTTTTGGTACTATAGTTGGACCCTTCTGTAATATTCAAGAATTGAACAAGATGGAATGCTTACTAATGAACTATATGGGGTTAATTGAGATGTGTTAATCATGCGTTTGTTTACCATCTTTCTAACTGAATGTATGCTTCTTGATGGCAAATTACTTTGTTATTCAGAAATGTGAGTTACTGTATTGTTTAAACATTTTCTTGATGAAGTTCTGCTTTTGTTATTACCCGACAATGCAATAATTTTCGTGCAGAGATTTGCGTTTTAACATTGATTATTTCTCGTATACGTTGCAGATCTTCCAGACTTGGAGAAGGCAAGAGGAGCTATCAAAGACTGATTCTATACTATCAAGGAAGTTTAGTTAGTTTACTCCCAAGATTTAGTATAATGCATGATTATGACCCTTGCTGAGTTCTGTATATATCAGAATATCTCACTCGTTCTCTAGGGTAGGTAGAGCTTCGACTTCTGGATATTACACTTTATCCTTTAGATTGTAAAATGGTTTGTTATATGTTTGGTTGCACTCCTTTGGTGGCCTTTAAGATGAAAGTATATTACCAGACATTGGTCAAGCTCGTTCTCTCTATGATGGTCAGTATGATTTTAGAGTTAACTATTTATTTGACCTTAGAATTATATCATTTGTGTCAATCAAGCTCTTAAATTATGTTTGATGTCAATTTAGTTCTTGAACTATGGAATCTGGTTCAATGTGACCCTTCTGTAAAAATTTGTCATTAATTTTGACGAAAACTTTTACGTGCACATTACGTGAGTCAAAGACTATGTTTGATTAAAGAGTATTTTTACTCTTTAATCAAACATTTGCAGGTACCTTGCTAAGTACTTTCCTATCCTTCATGACCACAATATGCCTTTTAGTCTGTATACTGTTAATAAAAGTACTTAAAGTAAAAAAATTTTGATTTTCTATTTTACGCTTATAAAGAATTTTAATTATCACATTTTCTTTTCATAGTCAACTATTTAAATTACAATCACGTTCGTATGTATTTAAATCTCCAATTTATCCTAACATTTATTTTATTTTTTTATTATCTTTGTATAAAAGTCAATATCTATAAAAAAAAAATTAATTAACCATGTTATTCTTAAAAAAATATATGCATCATTATAGTTTTCAATAAATTGTTCAAAAACTTTAACAATAAATCATACTTTTTTTAAATATATAGATAACATTATGATTATATATATGACATTTTTTTTCCTTTTATACTACTAATAAAAAATAAAACTTTTATCTTAACATAAAAAAATTTTGATACACTATTTTACTCTTATAAAAAATTTTAAATACCACATTATCTTTTAATATTTGAATGTTTAAATTGCCATCATATACTTATATGTTTAAATCTCTAAATTACCCCTAACATCTCTTTTAATTCTTTATTTACTATGTATAAATATCAATATCTATGAAACTTTTTAATTGACTATGTTACTTTTAAAACATATATGCATTACTATAATTTTTAATAAAACGTTCAATTTTTTTTAAATTTTTTTATCAATTTAATATTACTTATTTTAAATATAAAGATAATATTATCTTTACAAATGTGTATTTCTTTCACCCAAAATTTCAACCATTTAATTTTTAAGATAAAAAATAATCATTTACGTAGTTTTTTAAAAATAATTTATATTAAATTAACATAATTCTTCAATCACAATAAATTTTTCATATTTTATTAAGAGTTTGTATAAACAAAAGTATATTATATTTTTAAATAAAACTTGAATTTTAGAATTTTAATATTCTTTAAAATATATACTATAGAGTAGTATATTATATTTTAAGATGAATAGTACTTTTAGTCCCTAAAATATGCATGTTTTGTTAGTTCGGTCTTTATTGTATTAATTTTGTCAATTTGACCTTTAAAGTATTTAGTTAATGTTTAAATGATTTATATACAGACAATATGTTAAGTTTTTTTTATAGAAGTGATAACGTGATACTATTTGAAGGAATAACAAATGGTTATTTTTGTCAAAAAACTTAATAGACCATCTGGTTAGAGATTATTTAAACAAGAATTAAATATTTTAGAAATTAAATTGACAAAATTTAAATACTGAGGACTAAACTGACAAAAAGTATAAACTTTGGAGAATCAAAGTGTTATTAATCATATATTTTTATCCCTATTAAAACTTAACTAATTATAGTAAACATTGATTAGAATATTAAAAATTATGTTATTTTATTAAATGAATTATAAGTTGAAACATAATCAAATGAATTTCAAATAAATTATTTTTATCTTTATACTTAAAATAATGAATCGTTGGGAACAAACAATATTTTCAAATTTTATAATATAATACGAGCAATAAAAATATAATTTTGATAAACTTAAAATAATATTTAATGTAGATACATATATACCTTATACTTTTTATTAATATTTTGTATATAAAAATTATTCACGTGCAACGCATGTGGTGTATTACTAGTAGTATGATACGACCCTATTATACCTTTTGAGAAATGTTATTTGGACAAAAAATATTGACACACGTTGTCGATTTTCTCTACTACAATCATTGAATAGGTGATGAGTCATAATAAATGTTGAGATCTAAAGTTAAATCAATGACAATGATATTAGAAGTCGGTAAATGTTGTCAATTTTTTTTTGTCTAGAGTAGCACTGCTCATGCCCTTTAATACTATGATATTGCTTAAGGGTGTTCTAAAGCCCAGTATTCTAATGTGTATACCTTGTTGCATGGAATAAAGTTTCTTTGCTATGGTATAGTATTTCCAAAAGAGAGTTCTCCATCTTATTAAAAGAAAAATAAAATTAAAGAGTAAAAGTATAAATGAAAAAAATATCTAATTTCAAATGGTTCACGTGCGTGAATATCTTCTAGTTATTAAAAGAGTAATGTTACATGTACTTAAAAATTAGACTTGATAATTATAATCATTGAATAGGTAGTGAGATTCTATAAATGCTAGGACTTACATTGAAATCAATGGTTGTAATTATCAAGTCTATTTTTTACTCAAGTGTATCTTTAACTTTGATTCAAATTTTTACTCAACACAATATTTAGATAAAAATTTTAATTTAAAAAATCACACTAACTAATTTTTTTTAAAAAAATCAAGGACATAAATTTGAGTCTCCGTCAATTTAGTATAAGTTTGAATAAAAGATTTGAACTTATTTTTACTCAAATTTAAATTTGAGTCAATGCTTGAATCCGATCAAAGATTTGATTGTATCAATCATTTTCGAGCCTACACATAATTTAGTCCCACTAGGATCTAGATCATCTCAATTATTTTTTTAACACAATTTCCCTCAATGATAAATCATCCATCGTATATGAGTGAAGAGTCTACATTCAGACTCGATAATCAGTTAATTAATTAGTCCAACAAAAAAAAAACAATTAAAGAAGAGAATACAAGATTAAAAGTGTAGAAATTAAAAATATTACGACATAAGATGAATTGGTACCGATAGAGTTCAAACTACAAAGCAAAATCCGTTCGAGACCCATCAAATATCAACTCACACACACATCTCCACCAAGATTGGCGATTAATGTACGAGACAAATTAGTATGTTTTTTTGGTCTAAATATATAATCTCTTTATGAATTAGGGTAACACCTGTTTGCATTCATTCCAAGAATCCCACATTTTTGGATAAACTTCCGGGTCAAATTCCTGAAAGCCAAATGCAGTTTAAACAGGTCAATATAAGAGCATAAACTCCACTATTTAAGACTCTAAAAAGAAATAAGTGAAAAAAATATATATATTTGACATTGTCAAGCCCAAAAAATTAGACAACTGACCTCATCGTAAGCTTCCTTTAATGCATGTCTGAGGCATTGAGACAACTGGTTGACATATGACTCACTGTGACCTTCAGCTTGGTTGTTCTCTACAGCTAATCTCACCAGCTTTGACATGGCTATTGCACAAAGTAAACAGATATATAGCATAAGAAAATTGACTACGATCTACACACAGATGCTGACAGAGTAATAATTCTAGTCAGTCTAGTACCTGAAGCAGCAGCTATTCTAATTGCTTTAGCACAATAACGTGCATCGGCAACAAGTGTATCAGCAACAGGTGGATCATGATACCATTTCAAAAATGGAACCAGTGTATCAACAACCTAGATGATTTACAAATGTTTAAAAAATCACTGTCATAACAAGTTTACAAGGGATACTTAAAATTAGACATATCAAAATTTACCTGCTCAATCTTGGGAACAAACAATTCCGTCAAATTATCAACAAAGAAACACAGCACATGACAAGCCCTAGCCTTTTCCATGATGACTGCATCATACCTACGTGTAATACCAACAACAATGCAATAAAAATTAAGAAACCAACATTTTGACATATTATAAGTCAAAAGTAGTTTTAAGTAAGTAAAAGTAAAAAATAAATAAATAAATAACTTTCACTTATTTAAAATCACTTCTATACAAAGAAACCCACATTTTTAAACGAACTTCTTTGTCAGGTTCCTGAAAGACAAATACAGTTCAAACAGGTCAATATAAGAGCAAAAGCTCCACTATTTAAAACTCTAAAAAGAAATAAGTGAAAAAAAATATATATTATTTGACATTATTAAGCCCAAAAAATCAAGTAAGTAAGATAGACACAACTCACCAAATCTGAAGCTTCCTCCAAAGCACATTTGACCTTATTAGATAATGTCTCGACGTATTGCATATTTTGATCATAGTCCTCTGGGTCGCTGTATTCTACAACTTCTGTAGCTGAATTCAGTATCTTTGGCATGGCTATTGCACAAAGTAAAAAGATAGCATAAGAAAATTGACTAAGATCTACACATACACATGCTAACAGAAAATAATAATTTGACTAAATTACATTTTATCCCTCTAAACTATTACCCTTATTTTATTTTGTACTCTTAACTATAAAATTTTTCACAATATATCTTAAAGTATCAATTTTATTTCATATTACTTCAATATATAACAACAAACTTAAAAATCTTTCAAAAAAGGGAGAGAAACCCAAAGAGCATCTCGTCAAGTATCTAGTATCACTTTATTTTACCTCTTTTGCAACCGAAATGGTTGCTGGAAAGAAAAAGAAGATTGACCAGAGGAAGAAAATTTGGAACTTAGAAATGGCAAAGTCATGGATATGTAATTTTTCTTGACTTTTGACATGCACATGTGTAAAAGACAATTGCTTATTTGCATAACAGACTACTTTCATGCGCATTTATCTTAAAAAAATTGACACTCATTATGATATAATATAAAATTGATACTTTAAGGTTTAATATGAGAAATTTTATAGTTGACTGTACAAAGTAAAATAAGAGTAATAGTTTAACAGGATAAAATGTAATTTACCCTAATAATTCCAATCGGTCTAGTACCTGAAGCAGCAGCTATTCTAATTGCTTTGGCATCAGCAACAGGTGGATCATGATACCATTTCAAAAATGGAATCAGTGTATCAACAACCTAGATGATTTACAAATGTTTAAAAAACCACCGTCATAAGAAGTTTAACAAGGGATACTTAAAAATAGATATATCAAAATTTACCCGATCAATCTGGGGAACAAGCGATTCCGTCAACTCATCAACACAGAAACACAGGACGTGAAAAGCCATAGTCTTTTCCTTGATCTTTTCTCCAGCATACCTACGTGTAATACCAACCACAATGCAATAAAAATTAAAGATCTTGAATTAAGAAAGTGAGTTTGGTTGGATAACAAGAAACATCATTATTCATGTGTTTGTGTGTGTATGCTATATATATATATATATATATATATATATATATATATATATATATATATATATATATATATATATATATTGTGCGTGCAAGATCCTGCACAATATAAAAAACGAGAACAGATCTCTCCCCTGGTGAACTTCGGGTGAGCCGGTGGAGTGACCAAACACGCTGCTTGGGACAACGTGCACGGTACGGTGGTAACCCGGAACGGCAACGGGAGACCCTAGGAAAGGAGTGACGGTCCTGTAAGGCTGGAAGAGGTTCTTGGAACAAAGAAGAACAAGTTAGAAGGGCGCCAGAGTGTTTTTCGGCGTATCCCCTCCGACGGTCTAGTCAGTTTTTGAGAGAGAGAGAGAGGATAGAGGAAACACTGAGTGTGTTGTAATAGAGAGTTTGTTGTTGCATACCCGCTTTGCCTTTTGGGAGGAGTATTTATACCTTAAAAACTCATGATTGCTGTCAGTGTGGTCAGCAGGTGATCATTAGGCACAGGTAGCGTGTATATTTGATTCTGATGAGGAATGTCAACTCTAATTAACTGCTCGGGGTCCCGAGCAATCAATGTTGGGTCGTCGGGATGCCGACGGTACAATGTGCTCCTCTCGGGGAGGATGCAATAAATGTTCTGTAATAGGAGCATTTATTGTCTTTCATTTCCGAGCCTTACCGCATTGAATGCGGTCTCATCAAGGAAATGGTGCAATTAATTGTTTGCTTTCCCAAGTCGCGTGTCAGCAACGGCATGCGGTTTGTCTGTCCCTGATGTGATATCATATGTCACGCGTCCATCCCCTATTGCTTGTGACCTCTGTTATTCCAGTACGTTCTGACATTACTTGTGTAAGACGAGGTCATGATGAATAGCCTAGACTAGCCTAGGCTAATGACCTGCACGTCAATAGCTTATCCTGGAGTAGAGGAAGCGTTCAGGAGGGGGTACCTCTCGGCACCGAGGAAAGGCTCCTCTCGGAGACCGAGGGAGGTATGCCGACCGAGGTACATATCAGGCCGAGGCCACGTACCGGTTGAAAAATATACTGAATGTATGATCCTATATGTCGGTACCTCGGGGGCGAGGACCATATGCGCCGATGGTGCTTGATCTTAGCAACAGTGCTTTAGTAAAACCGAGGACACGTGTCTTTATCATAGAGATTTTTCAGAAAAGTCCCATCAACTGCCCCCCAGCCTTCGATCTTCTGACACCGAGGACACGCGTTGTAAGGAGACGAAGGGTTTCCCAACTACCACCCGTCCTTCATGATGGCCTCGAGCCGCTTTCCCCGGCTTGGGATGTCGTGCGCATTAAATGCGCCGTTTCGATTTTCGCGCCCAATGATGACAATTGTCCCTATATAAAGGGGTCTCCTCTTCCGTTTTCCTCGTTTTGCCATTTCGATCTTTCTTCAGAGCACCTCTTCTTGAATCTTCGCCGGAGTTTTGTTTCTTCTGCCATTGTCGACTGCCCATTCACCCTCAAAATCTTAAAGCCAACAGACCCATTGTTGATTTCTGAACTTTCTGGAGGGAGTCGCTTTAAGGTTTTTCAGAAAAAACTCCATTTTGACGTTCGGGTGAGTTTCAGAATCCTCTTTCTTTTCTTCCTCCTAGCCTTTTGTTTTCTGATTGACTGGAGGTGTCATCCGGCCGATATATAGCGATCTACCCCTCGGGAAACTTCCTCAGGGATTTTCAAGAACAAATACCCTCTTCTTTCTTACTTTTTTAGAGATGCCTCGTCGTCGCCCTGCTCCCGAGAATCCTCATGTTGGTCCTTCGGGGTCAGGGAAATATAAGGTAAAAGGCGATGAGCAGATCAATAGGTTTAGGGCCAAGTACGGCATTCCCCCGTGCGTAGACGTAGAGGATTTTGACCCGCTGGTGCACTCTTCTACCCTCGGGGCCGAGGATGCCATGCCTTTCTATACCAAGGCCATCATAGAGGGTGGAATTAGGTTTCCTTTACCCCTTGCTTCTTCAGTTCCTCTCTCATTTCCGCCTCTTCCCTAGGCAATGCTGTCTTAATGTCTTCTGAATAATCATGGGGGTCTTAGAGCTCAATAGGCGTCTCGGGGTAAATATTGGGCTCAACGATCTCCTTTTTTGTTACTCCCTCCTTAGAGTCATGCCCCACCAACACTTCTATCTCAAAGCCAGGGACCCCTCCATGTACCTTGTAACCCATCTTCCTGACTCGGACAAGGGGTACAAGGATGATATCCGTATTTTCAAGGGATCTTGGCATAGAGGTGTCGGTCCCGAGTATAATCACTTGTTATGCCCTCTGGAATGGAGGACGACAAGTACGTCGGTTCTTTTGGGTTTATCATTTCTTTTCCCAGACTTCCTATGCTCATGACAACATTTTTGTTTGTGCAGATATTCCTCCTCGGGAAACAGCTCCTCCCCCTCGGTCGCTGGTGAACTTTGCCGACCTAATCACGGTTTGGAGATTCACGGGTGACAACGGGTTTGGCCGTGCTACTCACATCCTGCTGAATTATACCCCCGGGTATAAGAAATTTTCACAGCTTTCGCAGCCTTTTGAGCCGTCGCGGTGGTCCGAACTCTTCGATCAGGCGTCGAGGCTAGAGGTTGAGGAAAATTTGGAGGAAGACCCGGATCGGGCTTCAGAGGCAGAGGTCGAGGGAGTTGCTGAAGAGCTCGGGGTCAGAGAGGACGCTGTTCCTTCAGACGCCGAGGTGGGGACTTCGGGAGGAGACTTGTGGCCAGACTTCCAAGTTCTTCAATCCTTAGACGCCGAGGACGCCTTCGAGGCAGCAATGTCCAGCACCCCTCGCATTGATTTGGGGTTCCTCAGGCAGAGGCAAGCTCTCGCAGCCGGGAGGGGTCGAGGAACGACCGGCGGCACCCCCTCTGCAGGGACCAGTTCCACCCCATCATCAAGGGTCCTTGGTCGGGGTCAGGTACGAGACCGGGACCCTCAGGTGGAGGAGGAGAGAAGGGTCAAGCATCGGCATGATGGCCTTGGCCGAGGATCCAGGGCACCTCCCGCTCAGCAGCAAAGCGGGAGGGGCCGTGGATTACCCCCTGCTCCTCCACAACAGCAGCAGCAGCAACAGCCCCGACAACAGCAACAACAACAGCAGCAGACTCCTCCTCCCCTTCCGCCTACAGTGGAGGCCGCGGAGTGGAATCCCCGAGCCACTGATCACATGAACCGAGTGATCAGGGTCGATGATTCCATTCTGCTGGATCCTCATGTCGCCAATGCAGTGAGTGAGACACTGCATTTCGAGGCCGACATGGCGGCTCATAGGGGGCGATCAACCAACGTGTTGTTCCGCTCCATCATCCAGAATTCCCTGGTGGTGAGTTTACTTTTGCTTTGATTCCTTCACTCTTGCTTTCCATTTTTGTGATTAACCCTTTTTCCTTCCTTTGCAGGCTACCCAGCAGATCTCCATCATAGCTACTCGGTACCACGGGTCTAGGATGGACCTCCAGAGGGCCCGAGATCAAAAGGAGGAGGCGGAAGCGGCCCTCGCCCGGGCAATGGAGGATGTAGCTGCCAGGGATTCTACCCTGGTGTGGCAGGCTGCTCAAATAGAGCAACTCCTCAAGGACGCCGAGTCGGCAAAGGTTGGCGCTGAAAAGCTAAGTGCCGCCCTTGCCGATGCTGAGATGAGGATTACCAAGCAAACGCAGCGACTTTCTGCTGCGGAGGAGAGGGCCGTTGGCTCAGAGGAAAACTGTCTGGCTCTCACCCAGGAGCTGGACAGGATCAGGGCCGAGGAGCTGAACAGAAAATTGGAGGAGCAACTGCGGGAAGAGTTTGCCGATGACGTGCTCCCTGCTCTTGAAGAAAACAGCAAGGAGTTCTTCAAGAAAGGGTGGGACGAGGCGCTCCAGTCTGCTGGAATCCCCTCAGACTCCCCGCTCTTCCAAATGCACAAGTATGTGCCCTCGGCAGAGATGGCACGGGCCGAAGCAGAGGTTGCTGTCGAGGATGAGGCTCCAACACCAGTGCAAGTCTCGGTGGATCCGCCCGAGCCGGTGATAGTGGACCTGTCCGAGGACGCCCCGTCGGACCATGCCCCTGATCCTCAAAATGCCCCAAGTCTCCCTGTTGCCGAGGTACCTGTCCTGCCTGCTCCAGAAGCTTCTCAACCATTTTTTGCCGATTCGCCCTCGGCTGATGTTCTGGAGATGCCTGGAGCCAGATGAAAACGCCTGGAGCCGGATGAAAGTCCTTTTCTTTTTGATTGTATCTCTTTTGCTTTTCTTTTGTAGCCTTTGGGGACGCAAAGCCCCTTTTTCTTGAAATAAAGAGTATTTCTTTCCTTTCTCTGTGTACAACAATATTTTTTTTTTTTTACTTGTCTTCGGGGCTGCTTGCCCAATCAAGAGGCTTGCTCTTGTGTTTGCTTCGGGGACAGGAGTCCTTGAACTCTGTCCCCAGGGTCTTACCCTTGCAGGAGGCTTGCTCCTGTATTTGCTTCGGGGACGAGAGTCCTTGAACTCTGTCCCCAGAGTCTTACCCTTGCAGGAGGCTTGCTCCTGTATTTGCTTCGGGGACAGGAGTCCTTGAACTCTGTCCCCAGGGCCATACCCTTGCAGGAGGCTTGCTCCTGTATTTGCTTCGGGGACAAGAGTCCTTGAACTCTGTCCCCAGGGCCTTACCCTTTATCTTTGTCGTTGGCAAGCACTTGAGGGAGAGAGTACTTCAAAAGTAATACTTCTTTAGATTCATAACATTCCATGGTCGTATTACAAGTTTTTCCACTCATGTCTTCTAATCTGTACGACCTGGCGCCCCCGATTGATATCACTTTGTAAGGGCCCTTCCCAGTTAGGTCCCATTTTTTCCTCCGTTGGATCGCGGGTATTGGCCGTTACCCTTTTG